AATTTGATTTAAATGGTGATAGCACCTATCAGAACTATGTGATGCAGCTAAAGTAGTACCTTGTAAGTTTCATATCTTCAGTTTAATTTCTTTCATTCCTTAGGAAAGTGAAAACTATAGAACCAGAGACACAGCTCAAGTAGTAGAGTTCCTCCTGAGAAACCAAAACAAAAGAAAGGAAAACAAATAAGGATGAAATTAATAAACTGTAAATGGTAAACAAGAGGAGAATTACTAAGGTCCAGCATTTCTGTTCTAAGAAGACTAGAGAAAAGATATCTAGGAAGACTGAGCAGCAGAAAAAAGAGAACACAAATTACCAGTATGGAGAATGTCAGGGCTGGGGGCCTGGAGGTGGTCTCAGCACTGGAGCAATCGCTCCGAGGATGTGTGAGGTGTGGCTTTCAGCCCAAGCACTGAAATGAAGAGGAAGAGAAAAAATGAAGTGGGAACTACAGGTCTCACAGATATTGGAAAGAACGTTCATAGATTTGTGCCAGTATTGTAGAACATACAAGAAAAAAGGAGCAAGTCATTAAAAACTACAACCAAAAAAGCTCATGAGAAGAAACAAAATTTTTTATATCTCTATACTGATTTAGTATCACTTAAAAATACTATATTTGTAATAGAAAAGCCTTACAGAAGGAAAACATCAGGGCCAGATGACTTTCTTTGCTGATGAACTCTATCAGACTTTTAAACAAGAAACAGTAACAGTCCTCCAGTCAGTCTTTTGGAAGGGAGGGAGAGTAAATACTTCTCCATTCGTGTACAAAGCCATGAGAAAAGGGAAGGGACCAGAATATAGACAAAAAATTCTGCAAAAAATGTTGGCAAATCCACTTTGGCTTCTAACCATGGAGAAGCAATCCACTTGTCTGGTGTCCATTTATAAGCAGAAAGCATCTAGTAGTGCAGCAGCTTTTTGCAGATGGTGGACAGTGGGTAGTGAAGGGCTGTGTCCTGAGAGAAGGGTAGGTGTGAACAGGTGAACCGTTCAGCTTTGGGGTATGATTGGAGGTGTGGTGAGGGAGGGAAACCTACAAGAGCCCACTGGAGTCTTGTTGAGTAGAGCAATTGGGATGGAAGTTTGGGAGAGACTGCGTGGAGGGCATTGTCCTCCCTCTGTGAAGGGTGGCCCCCCCCCCCAGGCCTTAGCTGAGTGCTGATCTGCTCAGGAGCGGGGAGAAGTCACAAGTGGAATTATTTCACAAGTGGAATAATTTCTGAGCACATGGTGCAAAGCCTCCTGGTGGCTTGATTCCATTTCCTACGTTGCCAGAGTTCACCTGTGCTGTGTGTAAAGGAATACCTCAGAGGCCCGGGAACGGAGGAGAGAGCACGTGCAGGAACCCCACAGGGGTGTGAAGCCTGCACGGGAAGCCTGTCCTGCCCTGCAGAGCGCTCTTCAGGCATGGATAGGGCTGGGCTGCTGGCAGGGGGGATGGGATAAGACACCTTCCGCTCTTACAGAGGCAACAAATGGATACCTGGCATATCTAGCATTCAACAACGAGTATGCAGTGCACAGTCAAACCGGGAAACACGACCCATCATCAGAAGAAACACCAGCCATTAGAAACAGACTCTCAGTCAACAATAAAGCCAAACAGCCTAGTGAGCGATTCAACGTGTGTTGAGAAAAGGCACAGAAATGGCCAGTAGGTGCACCGAAGTCTGTTTAGTGCTTAACATCATTAGTCATCACATCATTACTTTGCTAATTAAAATCACAGTGGGATGCCAATTAACACTTCCTACCATGACCAAAGTGAAAAAGACCAACAGTACTACACTGAGACCCGGATGGAGAGCGACTTTGGCACACTGCTGCACTGTGGTGCACAGACACTTTGAAGAACTGTCTTGTGGCAGACAGGACACAGCCCTGCGGGAGGGCAGGTGGGCCGGCCCCACAGCAGGAGGCGGAGCTGGCACTGGCATCACAGGATGTGGGCCTGGCAGGGCTTTGGCTGGAAAGCTGGCATTTGAGATAAAGATGTAGAGACGGCGTGGTTCCTGTGACGCGCATGTCCCTGACATTTCCTACTTCTCTTTCGCCAGTGGAGAGAAGCCATTGGTTTTGGAACGTTCTTGCACTTGACCATCCAGCTTGCCCCAGACGTCTTCCCTCTCTCTGGGCTGGCTTCACCTTCAAGTGGCCTGAGCCCTGGGTGGTTGTAGTAGGCCTGACCCTCACGTCTGACTTGGCAACTTTCAGAGAAGCCTCTTTGGATTAGGTGGGGTGGGGTCGACGTCCCTGGGCTGGTTCCCTCCCCTGGGCTGCTGCAGGGAGGGGGGCTCCCCTGGGGGTGGTAAGTGGGCCTTGGGGAAAGTCTTCATGAGGCAGCTGTCAGCCCAGGGAGGTGGCTTTTCCCCATGGCGGTAATTCAACGCATCCTTGAAGTGATAAGATTCCCTCGTGGGCCCATTCCTTCATTCTCTGTGTGAATCCTGCTGTGTGAGTTATTCTTGCTGGGTTTGGACCTGCTATTATTTTGGATCTATTTATCTGTATTCCTAAGTGAGATTGGTCTGTGCTTCAGTCTTTTAAAGAATGGTAGTTAATATATCAAGAACTTCTGTGTGACATTGGCCTCTCACTTAACCTCTCTGAGACCATGTCCTATTGATACAGCACTGCTCACAGCCCTAATTAATGCAGACTGTTCTGAGGATCAAGTAGATAACATATGTGGAAAGCTCTCTTTAAACACAAAAGCTTAAACAAAATTAGGTCTTTATCTCCTGCTGTATGTTCAAGATTTTTGGCTTTTTGAAGGTTTCTTTTAATGAGGAGGCAGGATCACATTAACGAGCGAGTTTTCTCTGTGCATTCTCATAAATCATAATCAGAAATCCAAGTTGTGTGGCGGGAGAGCCTCCGTGGCAAACTCCGTCACGGCTGCTCAGGTATTAGGTTTCTGCTTTCCATCCTGTCCTTAGGGAGCTGGGGGAGACTTGATAATTGCTGAGATTGCTGGAAGATGTGAATTATCGCTAGTGTGATCAACCAATTAATCTGTACTTACTTCACTTAGACTTTAGTAATTGGAAAAAGATTAGATGTCAGGGCTTTGCATTTTGTTGATTATATTACCGAAGTCTTCCTTTTAATCATTTCTTTTATTCATAGTATTTTTCGTCAGCTCTGAGTTGTTAGGAGAAGAACCTCATAGTGGATTCCTAACTTCAGCGAAGGAAGTAATTACCTCGGGTTCAGCTGCATTTAATACACTTGCACACTGGTATGTGCTTTCAGGCCCTGTAGGCCGTGCAGGTGGGTGCTCAGGGAGAGGCTAAGGTCGGACAGAATCAGGGTTCTGACCGTGGCTCAGGTTTCTTCTAGTCAACTCCCTCCTGCTTCTCTGCCTTAGGTTGGTCTAATGTGAAGCTTTGCTATTCTGGCTAGGTATAGCTTGGCTGTCTCCTTTCATTAGTTCTGTGTTAAAGGTGAGCTTATCGCAAGAAACTGGTGATAAGAAAATGCCATGGTCGTTTCGGTCTTCATTTTATTTTATTTTACTTATTTTGTGTAGCTCCACAAAAGCGTTTCAATTCAGCGTGTCCGTCAGTACAAAGCATCTTGGTCAGTGCCATCCTTTCCCCCAACCTCAGCCTCAGCCATTCCCTCACATATGCACGTGAACGTTATGACTGCATTTGTCCATGCTTCCTCTCTCAATTCCTCTGTCCTCTAGACAAAGACCTCACTCTCTGCCCTGCAACAATATATGTTCCAGTGTCCAGGGATTCTCATTTTGTTAAACTGTAAGTTAGTTGTTCCAAGAAGTTATACCATTGTAATTCTTCCCATATCTTTATATATTATATATTTAAATAAACATAAATATATAAATACCTATTTAAACATTAAATATATTTAAATATATTAGTATATATTTAAATATATACTTATATATTTAAATATATTAAATAAATATATAATATGGTGCAATCCTCTCCTAAGAATAGCCTCCTTTTGGTCTCACTGTATGAATGTTTAGAATCCTTTTTAATTCGTCATGTGCGAGTGTAATTTTTTTATCTTTTACCATCCAATGTGTTTACTTGTAGATTTATAGGCACATTCTATTTATTACAAAAGAGGGAAGCCATGCAACCTGTGTGTCTTTGAGTCTGGCTTACTTTGCTTAATAGAACTTTTCCAGGTCTTCCTATTTCCTTATGAATGGTGCAAAGTCATTCTCTCTGATGGAAGCAAGACTTCCATTGTGTGCACAGCTGTGTGCACACGATGATGTAAAATTATGTTTATCGAAATGAACGCCAAGAAAAGGGAACAAGAGATTTTTTGTTGTTATTTTGCCTTTTGTTTTTGTTTTCTCCTTTGTCACTGTGACTGATTTCTGTACCTTTTGACTTCTATGTAAATTGATCTGTTTGGGGGAGGGTAGGGAGGAGCTCAGGAATGGTGGGACAAAAAAGGGTGAACAGATGCAGCAGTGATACTCACTAGACACTGTCCTGACCTTGAGGAGGGGAGTTGGGAGGAAAAAACTGGGAGAAAATGAGGGAAGAGGTGACACTGTTCAAAAAGACATGTCCTCCTTACCTGGCTGAGGGAACTGCACTGCAACCCCTCTATAGATCACGTTTACAACAAGAATAAGTAAATAAATGAACATACGGTGAGAGTGAGGTGGGTGAGGAGGACGTGCCCAAGCTGGTGAGAGAGCTTCGGGGGCTGGGGTAGGAATTGAGAGGAAGAAGGCGAGGGTCCCTGTCCCGGGAGGAAGGGCCTCCCCTGTTCCTGTTGGCTTCAGGCCCATTGGGTGCATCTTGCAAACATGTGCCTTTGGGTCTCGCTCATCGTGGACAAGCAGGGTCTGAGGCGCTTACCATTTACTCTCATTGCGGGTCCATTTACAGGCTCCACTGTGCCCTGTGTTGATAGTGGGTGTGTGAAGGCCCAGGGAAGCTGGCTGACCTTTGATAAACTCTGCTTTTCCTTGTCTCCCCTCTTTTGTCAACAGAGGAGTTACGGAAGCTGAGTTGGTCCGGAATCCCTAAGCCAGTTCGTCCAATTACGTGGAAACTCCTCTCGGTAAGTGTGTGCCCTGCTCACCCTACGTGGTCCCGCATCCCTCCTCCTCTGAGCACAGCCGAGAGGCTGGCTGGAGCCTGGCCCTCCATACAGCCCACGTACTTGCCTGATTTGGTCGCACACTGACCCGAGGCTTCACTGCGTATGGCCAAGATGGCATTGTCTGCTCTGGGCTTAATTTCAAGGTTGAGTTGGCAAGGCTGGCAGAAGGTGAGGATAAGTGGTAACTTGTGACAACTGTATTCTTTTGCTCTGATTTTTATTATTAGAAAAGAAAACTTTGTAATATGCTCAGACATGTCATTTAGGAAGCACAGCTAGAAGATTATTCAGCCCTGAGAAGTTGAAACAGGAAGTGTGTTTTTGTAAAGGATTAGTAGTGCTGTTAGCACACAGAGAAAAGAGGAGGTGATGTTAGAAGCAGTGTGTGTGTGTCTGTGACGGAGGCTGGAGGAGGTACCCTCAGCCTCTCCGCTGCCTGGTGGGGGGCGACTGCATCTGCGCTTATGTACCCACCCAGGTTCAGGTCAGAAGTGAATGTGGCCCCGATGAAAATTTCAGAATAGTTGACTGTTTCCTTTCTTTTCCTCCATTATTTTTGGAGGTAAGTCGATAGGAAACTCTTAAGTGCCCACTCTAAATTGGGTCTGACTCTCAGTGTTTAAAAGACTCTTTCTCTCGAATGAGTCTTAATAAATTTGCAGCTTAGTACCTCGTAATCCTAAATGCAGATGCTGCTCTGAGTAACAAATATTTATTGATTAAATATTCTCTTGCAATTAAAGCTAGACCTGCTGTGATTGTTCATATTTTTACTTTGTGTATTGTTTTAATCTTATGGATTGATACCCAGCTTTCCAAATATCCTTTAAGATAGGTTACAAGCCTTTTAGATTATTGATGGGTGGTTCTATGAAATTACCCTGAAGTTACTTAATTGCAATTTGGTATTTGTTAAGGATGTGAGTGGAAGGCTTCCTATGTGTTGTTTTCTGCTGGCTTTTGAGTTCTGCCTCTCTGTGGGTCAGAGCTGCCATGACTGGCCGTGTTGAGCTCTGTGCTGGCTGCCACGTTAATGGGCATGGGGGTGAGTAGCACAGAGGAGCAGGGGGAGACGTGGGCTGTCCCGCCCTGTAGGTGGAAATGAGAGGGGGGTAGCTGTGAGACTGGAGTGCAGGTAGAGCGGATCAGAGAAAATCCACTCTTCTCCAGCCCATCTGCTTACCTGTCCTGATCACAGAGACTTTGCTTAGGAGACAGTGATGAATGGACAGTCAGCTTCCCGGAGGAGGAGATTGGGCTGCAGACTGGCCACAGGGAAAACACAGCTTAGTGTGCGACAACACACTTGTGGGGTGTTGAGTGTGGACCAGTGGTGGGGAGCAGCCCAGTACCAAGGGCAGCTTCATGGGGAGGAGACGATGCTGTAGTCTGTGAGACCACCGAGAGGTGTATCAGCAGGCCAGGGCTTGGAGAGGGGTACCTGGAGGCCAGGGAGGGAGGACTTGGCACCAGGATGATGTGAACGGGGTAGCTTTTGGACCTCTCCTAGGTCTGGTTTCAGCAGACGATAAATACCAGGTGTATAAGCCAAGTCAGCCCCAGGGGAGGAGGCTCCAAGAAGGGGGCCGGGCCAGGCCCTCTGGCATAGTGGCCTGCTCATGTGACATAGCAGAAGGGCTGTCCGTGTCCCCTGGGAAAGGCGCTGGCGTCGCAGGTGGGCAGGGCAGAAGCAGTGGCTGGAATTGCACTAGGAATAACTCTCAAGGGTTTGGGAAGGGAGTTGATTTCGCCAAGGGCTGCGGGGTGTGGAGGGGTGGGTAGAGTCTGCGACAGCCAGAGAGGGAGTTCTGAAGGGAGGCGTGTGCTGTTGGAGTTCTGCCTCTCTGGAACACGGCTGCTTGGTGGCTCCAGCTCTCTAGCGGGAGCCCACCAGCCGAGGGCGCTGCCCGCCACGGCGGTCGGGAGGTGAAAGGTGGTCGGTGTCCACAGGCCTCTTTCAGCCATGAGAGGTGGACTCCGAAGCGCACTTGCCATCTCCGTGCCTGGTACCTGGTGGTCACTCATCATCACCCTGAGCAAGGTCTTCTGTGGTTGGATCCTGGAGATGGTGAAGTCATGACCAGCAGGTGCTTCCCGTGTGTGACTGCTAGGCCCTCAGCAAGTGTGGGAAACGGTGGGAGAGCACCCAGTGACAGGCAAGGCGGGGGGCGGGGAGGAGAGAGTCATCCCACCAAGTCTGCTTCTCCATCACTCTCCGAATCCTGGAGATTTGGCCCGGCTTGCCCAGCAACTAGCTGGGAGCTGTGGCAGGTCCACTGCCTGGGTCACAAAGCAAGCCAGAACCTGGGCTGGACCCCGGTGTCAGGTGTGCACTGACCTGGTTATACTGTGGACCGGTGTGTTCAGGGAGCCCCTGCCTGCTGAGAGGCAGCAGTGAGGCTGGCGAGGACGGGGCAGGCTGCCGAGCTGTGTTTTTTCATTCTGGTCGCATGTTAGTGTCACCTGAAAACTCAGGACATGCGGCTGAGGCCCCTCGTGTGCTGGGGAGACTGGTGTTCCAGGACTGTCAGAATCCCTGCAGGATGGGACCAGGCTGCTCACGAGCCGGTGGGGAGCCGTGCCAGGCTGGGGTGGGGCTGCGGCGCAGGGTGTGCTGGGTGAGCGGGTCTGACGGTTTGTCTGGATGGCTTGGTGGGTGAGATGGCAGTGGTCCATTCCAGGTACTCAGTCCTGCAGGACCAAGAAGATGTCATCCTATGTCCTGTTTAGAAAGACAGAGAGCCAGTGCTGTACCAGATGATGGAGCTAGTTCAAAGCCGGGTGCACTTGTGACTTTTCTCCAATGTGTTTACCTTTTATCATCAGCTAGCATTGTCTTGGCGTCTGTGGGAATCTGCTTCAGTGGGAAGGATGAGTGGCATGGTTCTCATCATTCCTGAAATAGCACAGATGCTGTCGCGGGTGTGCTGCTGAACCACATGGAAATCATAGCCAGGCACTCTAGTACTTTCTTCTTCCTTCCTTCCTTCTTCCTCTTTCTCCTCCCTTTCCTCTCCCCTCTTCTTTCTCCCTCCCACCACTACCTCTTTCTTCTCCCCCCTTCTTTCCTCCTCTTCCTGCTCCTCTTTCTTTTTGGTGCTGGCCCTGGGGCTTGAACTCAAGTCCTGGTTGCTGTCCCTGAGCTTTTTTGCTCAAAGCTAGTGCTCTATCACTTAAGCTCTACCACTTCCCACTTTTTGGTGGTTAATTGGAGATAAGGGTCTCATATACTTTCCTAGTTGGAATTAGCCTAGCTTAGAATTAGCCTCCTGATTAGCCAGGCTTACAGGTGTCAACCACTGGTGCCAGGCTCCAGTACCTTCATAAAGATCCGTGCTGTAGAGAATCATAGCTTGGCCTCTTGTTTTTAATAACAATTTCAGAAGCATTGGATGAAAACTAATTACACTTTAACATTTGTGCCAATGAGTACAATGGTTAAAGATGATCAGGGAGGGTCCAGGATCCTGTTGTCTTCTTGCTCTCTGCTGAGGCAAGTTTGCATATGAACACAGCTGGGCGGGAACAAGCTGGCTGTGTGTCACTGGGACAATTTAGATATAAGTATATGCATGCATTGTTTTACATTTATGATTAGTGTTTTTATAGCATGCTAATACAGCAATTAAGTTTTCTGTAGTTCTGTCATTTAAAATTCATTGCATACTTGAATATATCATTTGCATAATTTTTAGTCTTGCTTAATTATTGAAAGGCCTCTACTTGCGCGTGTGTTTTCTTCTAGGAATGGGATGTCAGGAGTATGTGGGGGTGTTTTTATCTCGCCGGTTCCACTAATGGCTTACTTGTCTTTTAGTATCTGTGTTTCAGTGAGTTAAAATTTGGGGTACGTGTTTGTAAGATGCTTACTCATACTCACCAGGGAGACTATGGTGTCTGTCCTTCATACTCTGTCCACACCACTTCTGATGACCAGCCTGGAGGCTCCTGCTGTCCCGCACCCACGCCTGGGTCCCTGGCTGGACACACAGGCTCTTCTTTTTAGCAACTGTTTATAGCTCCATGCCAGTCACCTGTAGCATGCAGATGTTCATAGCTTTTCTGTATACCAGCAATGAACAGAATGTGAATAAATTAGGGAAGTAATTTCCTTCACAATAGCTTAAAAAATATGCCTAGGAATAAACCTAACCAAGGAGGTGAAAACTATAAACTCTTGATGAAGACATCAGAAGGTAGACATTTGTCCTGTGTTCAGGGATTGGCAGAATTAATACTGTGAAAATGGCCATATTACCAAAGATGTTCTATTAATTCAATGTAATACCCACTAAAATCCCAGGGACATTTTTCTTAGATAGAGAAGACAATCATAAAAGGCCTTGAATAGCCAAAGCAGTCCTGAGCAAAAAGAGAAATGCTGGAGGTATCACAGTTTCAGACTTCAAACTATACTACAGAGACATAATAACAAAAACAATGTGGTACTATCACAAAAACAGACCTCAAGATAAATGGAACAGATTAGAAGACCCAGAAATGAACTCTTGACAAGGGTGTAAAAAAATGTATGTTAGAATAAAGATATTCTCATCAACAAATGGTGCTAGGAAAACTGGACATCTAGATGTAGAAGGCTGAAACTGGATCAATTTAAAGTAAGATCTGGAACTTTGAAATTTACTAAAGGAAAGAATAGGGAAAACACTGGAACTTATTGGCATACATGGTAACTTCTTGAATAGAACTCTAGTGGCTCAGCAGATATGAAAAAAATTTGACAAATGGACCTGTATCAAGTTAAAAAGCTTCTTCTGCACAGCAAAAAAAAAAAAAAATATATATATATATAGTCACTGAGCTGAAAAGACAGCCAACAGAATGGGAAGATCTTTCCTGACTATACATCTGACAAGGGCCTAATAACTGGAATATATAGGGAGCCTAAAAAAAACCTCAAAGATTCAACAACCCAGTTAATAATGGAGCAGACATTTCTCAAAAGAAGAAACACAAATGGCCCAGAAGTACATGAATAAATGCTCAACAGCTTTGGCCATAAAAGAAATGCAAACCAAAATGACACTAGGACTCCATCTCACCCCAGTTGGAATGGCCATCATCAAAAATACAAACAGCAGCAAATGTTGGTGAGGATGTGGGAAAGAGGGGACTTACTACATTGCTGGTGGAACTGTATACTAGCACAGCCATGATGGGAATCAGTAGGGAAGTTCCTCAGAAAAGTAAGCATGGGGTACCCTATGATCCAGCAAGACCCCTCTTGGGCGTTTATTTTTAGGAAAGCAGGTCAGGATACAGCACAGGAACCTATGTGCCCATGTTTATTGCACCAGTCACCACACAGCTGCAGCGTGGAGAGAGCCAGAGGCCCTGCATCTGATGACCGGATCACAAACATACAGTATGTATACACAGTGGAACATTATTCAACTGTAAGGAAGAACGGAATGATATCATTTTCTGGGAAATAGGTGGACCTGGGAATCAGGCTCAGAAGGATAAAGGACATGATTTCCCTCATATGTGGATGTTAGATCTAAGATATAAACATATGTAAGCACATATATGATTGTGTGTGTATGTGTGTGTGCTAGAACAGTATAAGTAGAATATAGAATTTGAGACACCATGACGAAACTTCTTCACACAATTAACATGCACTTATCCAAAAGGAATATTGGGAAGCTGAGTCATGTTTAGTCTGGGGTGTGGGCATTAGTGAGTGGGGGGCGGGACAGATTTTATACATGTGTGAACATGGAAGCAAGGATACTTGATGAGCCTGGTTTGGGAAAGGGGAGGGGGAAAGAGGGAGAGCAGTAATTTTGACCAACCATTGTATACATAAATCAACTTGATAAAATGAAACCTCCTTGTATAGCTAATTGGTCAATAAAAAATAAAAAAAGGGAAAGGCAAGCCACAGACTGGAGATATAACAATACAGTTACAACAACACATACTCAGCAGGAAGGTAAACAATGGGATTAAAAGATAGGTGAAAATTCTAAACTAGTACTTCACTGAGAAGAGATGTGTTGTCTACATGGACGGACTGTGTCCAGCGTTGCTGGTCGTTAAGGGAGGGGATGTGGATTCATGCCCAGGGAATGGTAGTGTGGAGAAAACACAGGGATGAGTGTCAGAGGGAGACACATTCAGAGCAACCTGTCAGTTTTTCAGAAAATGAAAGCTCTGCTTACATTGTGATCCAGCAATTCTGCGCCTAGAGGAGAAACTAAGGCATGCGGTCCCCAAATCCTGTGATGGCATGATGGGCTTTGTTCATAACAGCAGCCCAGGTGCTCACTAGGGACGAGGGCCCAGCCAGCTGCACCCACCCAGAACCCTCGGAACACAGTGCACAAAAGCCTAGGTCCTGAGTGACTCCAGGTCAGAGTCTGTCCTCCCTAGTGAGGAGGCAGTGTCTCCCAGGGCAGGGATGGACCACAGGGACTGTACCGGGGCCACAGAACTGTTCTGGATCTCCGTGGGAGCCCCAGTCATGGGGCTGCATACCTTCATCGAGATCATGTACCTGCCTTAAGATGGGCAAGTTTTATGTTGTAAATTCGTGTCGGTATAAGAAAGCAGATGCTCTATGACACCAGGCAGTCTGGCCCTGGAGTCTGGGCGCCTCTATCCACCAGGGCTGCCTGGCCCTTTCTGACCTCAGTCCACTTAATCTATCGCACTATAGCCGCCGAAAGCCCACTGGTCTTTGAAGAGAGTTGCAGATTTGCCTAAGTGACAGGGTTGGGCATACCCATGTGTGTATGTGCATGTGTGTTGTGAGTGTGATACTGCACACACTTGTAGTCATCTGGCCCTGCTTTGGAAGGGCACTGGTTCCCAGCCTGATGTTGTCTTTGACCTGTCTGGCTGGGAGTAGCAACCCACACTGCCCCCTGTGGAGGGCCCAGGCAGTGCGCACGGTGAGTGAGCCAGGCTCCCCACCCCCACTCCCTCTGAGACCTGAGCCTTGAACTTCACACTTATGATGGAGTCTGGTGAGTGAGCTGTAACCATAACTATGTGTTTGCTCTTTTGCTCACCCAGGGTTACCTTCCTGCCAATGTAGACCGAAGACCGGCCACTCTCAAGAGAAAACAAAAGGAATATTTTGCTTTCATCGAGCACTATTATGACTCCAGGAATGACGAAGCTCACCAGGACACATACAGACAGGTGGGCGTCCTCTTTTTTTTCTGTTAACTTGATATTAGGCTTGATGATAGTGCCAGGAAGCATTTCATTTAACATGTCCCTGACTTGCTCACAGACTTTAATTTTCTAATAAACGCATGCATTAGCAAACACAGTGGTAATATCTGGCTTGATCCACATCCTTCTGGGGAAGTGAAAAGAGCGTTTTCAGTTGGGGTTACAAAGAAGGTGCCAGAGATCTGGTTAGCAGTGCCCTGCAGTCTGTCTCCAGGGATGGCGGATGTCTTGTGTTTTGGCAAGCTACCATCTGCTCCTCAGTGGCAGAAGCAGACGTCGAGCCAGAGAGCATCATGGCAGGGTCTCTGCTGTCTGGGTGGATGGTATTGTGACCTTCCTGCAGGATTGGAGGGAACTGTGGTTCTCAGGAAAGCCAGGAGAAGGATTGACAAAAGGCTGGTTAGCTCAACTCACGGGGAGACGGGCAGGTTCAGTCTATAGCCAAAGGTGTAGTCAGTTTATCATTTGCCATTTAGTAAAAAAATAAGCATGACGACATTTTCTTGAACAATCAACAGATGATGGTGCCTAATGGGTGAATAAAAAGTTGCTTTGCGGTTCACAGCACATCTAGTGCTTGCTGTTAGAACAGCTCTGAGCTGCTTAATCCCACGCTGGAGTGTGTGAACATTCACAGTGGCGGTTCTTAATTGGCCCTGCTCTCCAATGTCCCTCACTTCCTGGCTCCATTGGTGTTGAGAGTGCTTTGCAGGCTCTGTTTCAGGCGGAGGAGCTCTGTCAGTTTTCCATCCTAGATCTTGTCATTTTGGTGTAGAGCTGCGGGAAAGGTTGCTTCCCTTTTACTCAAACCTTGGGTGAACTGGTTTCGCAGGTGTCTTCCTCACACACGTGAAGCTGCTGACAGCCCAGAGCCACTGACTTGCTGCAGAAAAGGCCATGGAGGCTGGGCACAAGTCCATTTCAGGCTCCTTCTGAGGTGGCCCAGCCCCTGCCTGCACTGGGCTGGTTCTTGGGGTTGGGCTGCTGCCCTGTTTGTTACTCTGGGAGGCCGAGTGGACACAGGCTGTGTTTGCATTTGGTCATGGAATTGTAGTTTGTCTGGTTTGTTTTCTACTTCACTGATTTTAGGAAATGGATACATTAGTATTGTGTGGAGCATGTTTTTGATGTACCTTTTCTTAAGAAAGAGTCTTAAAAAGGATGAACTAGCGGGTCCTTGAAGGACCTTTCAGGCTGTTTTTTTTTGAACCGTGAAGGGAAAGTTCACTACAGCCAGGTGGTAGGCATCTTTTCTCAGTTACCATGATAAACAACAAAAAGGTCTTGTGCTGTTTTGAGTTCTCCAGAAATTTCCACATTAATTAAAGTTGGACTGTGTGATGTAAAGCGGTTGGCTCTCCTGGCTGTCCATGCTTGGATGCCAGCAGCTTGCTTCTCAGAGTCTCCAGGGTATCTAGCCTTCCCCAAGTATTGATCTTCACTCCTTTGTTACATGTGTACTCTTTGGCCAAAGATCGCTGCCAATTGAGGCCACCACTGAGGTGGTAAGAATTGTGCTTCACTGGCGTGTTTCTCTGTGCATATCAGTTCTGTATTCCAGTCCTGTGGCTGATGGGGGCAGTCCGGGCTTCCCTCCTCTGGTGATATAGCAAGGTGTGGAGTGTCATTTTGGTGCCGTCCTGTCTGTGTAATGTGTGTCACCGTCTGCTCTTGCATAAGGCAGGCCCTGCTGGTTCTCGGCATACAGAGGCGAGTCGAACCTGGTTGGAGCCCATGGTGTGCCTGCCCCCAGGGCGTCACTGCAGGGGGCAGGTTGCTGGGGATGCCCTTCAGGTGGCCATGGTAGCCAGTCTGGTGGCCCTTGTCCTGCACTCATGTGTGGCCAGCTGCTCATCTGCGTGTGGTACCTGCTTCCCCTCACAGCACAGCTGGCCACAGCTGTCTTCCCTGTGAGCCCTAGGGGCCTGCTCATCTCAGCTGGCTTAGTCTGTGGACTCAACCTCCTGGTCTTCACTATTAACTGGCTGAAGGGTGCTGAGCAGGCCTTGTTAGATGAGGAGGCTGAGCCCAAGCCTGAGTGGTTACTCAAGGCCACAGGCTTAGTCGCAACTGAATGGGGTGATCATCTCTGGCTTCAGGATGCTAGAATTCTCTGTGAGCAGGGGTCAGGGTGAGCTGAAGTTCAGCATCTTCCCTCAGCCTGTCTGGTGCACCAAGAGCGACAACAGTGGTGGCTGAATGGGACATCCCTGTGGGACATGGAAGCTGGCCTGTGATGCAGCTTTGCTCTGAGGGTCTTGTCTGGTTGCTTTTTGTTTGGGTTTTTTTTTTTAACTGTATTTTTTTTGTCTTTTTTGGTACTGGGGATCGAACCCAGGACGCTGCGCTTGCTAGGCAAGCGCTTTGCCACTGAGCTACATCCCAGCCCCTTGTCTGGTTGCTTTTTGAACCCTCGGCTGCCCCCTGTGCCATGTCAGGATCGCAGGTAAGGCACAGATATCAGATGGCAGCCAGGCAGGCATCAGCAGACTCTAGCAGAGGCCTTCAGACACTTCCTTTGGGAAGTGTCCTAACTTCTCAAGGACCTTGTGAAGTAGAGGAAAATGTGTCCTGTTTTCTAAGAAGTCTCTGCCACGGCAAAGCCCCATGCACTGTCGGTGTGCTTGAATTGCTGTTTGTGTCAGAGGCCGAAAGTCAACGTTTACTAATTGTCATGGCTTATGTTACTAAAGAATGGAGGGCCTGCTCTGCTCCTAACCCTGCACTGCCTGGTTGGGAGGGGTCGGGGGGGCCTCCCTCAGGTGGAAAGGACTCTGAAGGCCTCCACTCGGGGAGTTCTCATAGTGTTTCATGTCCTCAGAGAGAGCAGGTTACCAGGCAAAGTTAGTTCGACTATCGCCAAGTGTGCTCTTTCAGTTATGATGCTTCAGTGTCACAGGACTTGATCCTTTTGAGTAAACTTGTCTCTCTGCTGCCTTTCCAGATCCACATAGACATCCCTCGGATGAGTCCTGAAACACTGATACTTCAACCCAAGGTGACGGAGGTAAGAGGCCAGGCTCTCTGCCGGGAGGGCCGTGTGCTCTCTGTGCGCACAGGGCTGTGGGAACGCAAGGTTGGCGACCCAGTTCTGGGGAGTTTGGGCCTTGAGAGCGTAGTTGTAGATAGGAATCGTTCATTGTTCTTTTAAGTTTCCTCTTGTGTCACATTGATGCGTGCAGTGTGTGTGCAAATATGTAGCATGTACTCATGACCCACCCCCGGATCTAGGATCGAGAATCTTACCAGTGCTAACCTTGTACTTGCTAGGCAAGCATTTAACCATTTGACCTAACTCCTGTCCTCCTGATTTTTACATCTGCAATCCCTCGTAACTTCAACACCGAGAAAATAATGTGTGCTCTAATGCTGTATTCCTTGGCGCTGTATCATTCTTTGTGCTATCTAGTTCCTGAAGCTTGTTTTCCTCTCTATGTGATGTCCAAAGTGTCAGCTTAGATGCCTGTGTATCTAGGTACATAAACAGTCTGTCTGTCGTCTGTTTCCTGAGAATGGGCTTTTGGTCTATTCCTAATGTTTTGCTGTTAGGAACTGTGCTGCCCGGCCCATTATGCTCATTTCTGTAGTTGCCCTGGGCAAGAATTTCTCCTCAGCATTGAATTCAGATAGCTCCTGTTGTACATTGCTGAGCCAGTCCCTGCTAAATGTTCACAGGGACACTGCCACACTTCCCAGAGGAGCTCTGCCACGGAGACACACCTCCTGGGTATTGGGCTTCATGGAGCCCCTTGTGCTCACCACTCTGTTAGGTATTGCCAGGCTTTCCAGCCTTTGTTTTCTGGGGGGTCTTTCATCCTGCTCTTAGTTTTCATTTCTCTGGTTGCTAATGGGGTTGAGCATCCCTTCATATATTTGTGGGCATTTTCTCTGTTCCTCTTCCTGGAAAAGGCTTGTGCCTGTGTTATGCTCATTTTTCAGACTACTTGTTAATCTTTATATAGTTCAGACTCTAGTTCTCCCTTTCTGTGGCTTGCATCTCACTTTTTTATGGGTTTCTGTTACTGGTGAGAAATTCCTTGTGTTGGTGAAATTGAACCCGCTGCTCCTTTATGGTTAGACTAAACCTTGTATTTTTTTCAAATGTGGGTGTGGTGGTCCACACCTGTAATAGGCTTGCAGTCCAGACTAATGTGGACAAAAAACGTGAGACCTCATCTGAAAAACAGCTAAAGCGAAAGGGCTGTAGGGCCCTGGTTTTGTGGTAGGGTGCCTGCCTAGTAAGAGAATGGTTTATTGAGTTCAAACTCCAGAAAACAGAAGGACCCAAAACAAAACTTCCACAAAACAAGTGACTTTTTAAAGGCCATACAACCATCTAGGCGTTTTACTATGTTGTCTCCTGAAAATCTTGCTTTTCCCACTGCTGTGTTTACTGGCCGTGCCTGGGCGGCCTGTCAGCCTCTGAACTGTGCGTGGACCCCGCTTGTCTCCATATGTGTGGTGTCACCTCTCCTTTGCATCACGTCCCTCCAGGTGGTTTCTCCTGCATTTCCCGTTCTGCCTCGCTTGATAGTGTCAGAATGCTTGGGGGCGGGGCGGGGGGAGGGATGTCCGTCATCCCCCTCTTCCTCTTCAGAGCTGACTGGGTAGAGTTGACTGTGCTCTTTGCTCTTTCAAGTATCTCAGAAGCAAACTGCCAAGTTTTGAGTTTTTGGGGCTGTCTGATTTGTGATTATAATTGCAGAGTCACTAGGTCCATTTGGAATAACTGACATCTTTGCTAACTTTTATTTTCATTTTTGTAAATATACTAGTTTCCTCTGTTTTATACCAGTTTTTAATGCATTTCAAAGAAGTTTTAAAATTTTCTCCCCAAAGGATCCTATAGATATTTTATAGTTTTTAAAATATTTCTGTTGCTAAAGGGGACTTTTCTTATTGTTTGCAATAGTTTGTTTTCCATCTTGTTATACCCGAGTAAACGCACTTACAAACTTTGACATCTCTTAGCTGTGCAGTAAACCTGTCAGAAAATGTAGCATTGTTAAAGTGAAACTACTCATAGATTGTAGAACACAAAAGGAGAAAATGACTTTCAGCAGAAGTGGTCATTTTGAGATACTTCTCAGTGAGGACCTATTTCAGTGATGTGCTTATTCTATCAGGAAACAAGAGATAATGCATTATGACCTCCTTTTTACTTAACTTTTTAGAGTGGAAAATAGATGTTTGGTTTATCTCCCTTTATTGTGTTTCCCACCGTTTGCCCCGTTCCTGGAAGAGCTGACTTGGTTCATGCTCTTGGTATGTAGGTGCAGACTTACCACCAGCCGGGCCATTTGGGGCGTTTGGGTGGTGAGGTCCTTGTCCTGCGGGCTTGGCGTGCCTCCCGGCTGTGGGGTCTCCCTGGCAAGGGGCCATCTAGCCAGGCTGCAGAGCTGAGCAGGCCTTTGTAGTCTGCCGGACAGGCAGGCCTTGGGAGGAGGGCAGACTCATGCAGCCTGGGTCAGGGCGGTAAGCGCAACCTGTGTGTGAGGGAATTAACTGAGGAGCAGGGCTTCCGAAAGGTGTTGAAGAGTGGGTCCTGTTGGCCAGTAGGCAAAATCAAATGAGGATTTCTGGCATTGTGGAGGCTCAGCCCAGAGGTGTCCACAGATGACAGCAAAGCTATAACTATAGCGGCGTCACGAAACCCAAGTCTATTACTGTTTCCAGTACTAGTTCTTTGTCAGACAATTGGTTGCTCCTCTGTGCTGGGCTTTAACCTCAGGGTCCAAGTTGGCTGCTTAGTGCTCTTGGTCACATTTGCATTCCACTAGCATGGAATTCTAATGAGGTACCACTAGAGAAGGCACACTTCCCCTTTAGAGTTATGAGTGTCTCGCACAATACTTCTGCTGACCTACGTTAATGCCCTAGTGCTACTCAGCTGCCTGGGAGCCAGGGAAGTGGTCTTTTGGTTTAGTCTGTCATGTGCGCCATGCAAGTTTGGGCTTGTGACTACTCAGGAAGGATGTCTGCGGTGAGCAGCCCCTCCGGCAATCCTGACAGACACTTCATTTGTTTATTCACTTCCTAGGCAACGGCTGTTCAGCTATGGTCATGATTTCTTCTCCATTTCCTTGTTGCCTTCTCTTTCTCCCCCTCTTCCTTATTCTTTCCTCCCCTCCTTCTCTCCTTTAGCTGCAATACAATTTGCTTATTTCAAGTTTACAATTAGATATGCTCTGACTCCTGTCTATAGGAGTAACAACACACTGTGAATCACATCCACCACTCTGTCCTTGGTGATTGGCCTTCTCTGTTCCCGTGGCCCCTGGGAGCCATGGGTCTGCTGTCTGCCTCTAGAGTTACGCTGCTTTCAGGAATTTCCTATATGTGGAGTCACACTGTAGACGCATGTGGCTTCTTTTACTTAGCACGATGCTGAGACTAGTGTGGTTGTGTCTATCAGTGGTTCAGCTCTTTTGCTGAGTAATTTTCCATTTGTGAGCATACCACAGTGATTCATTCACCAGCTGGTGGACGTGGGGCTCTGCTGTAAACCTTCGTGTTTGCATCTTGTGAGGGCATCTGCTTCCCATGCTCCCAGCACCTGGGAAATTATTAGAAGTAGAATAGCTGCATTGTTTGGTGAGAGAATATTTAGCTGTATAAGACACTGCCAAACGATTTCACGATGCATTATACTGGTTTGCATTCCGACCAGGATTGCATGAGAGTTTTAATTGTGGCATTTGGTATTACCAGCCTTTCAGATTTTAGCCGTTTTTAATGGGTGCATAGTAGTTCTTTATAGGATTGTAATTTGCATTTCCCGGTTGATGAGTGAACTGAGCAGCTTTTGTGCACTGGCTTGCTATGCAGACATCTCTTATGGTGAAGCATCTTGTCAGGTTTTGCTCATTATTTGGTTACTTTATAAACTTCAACATGCCTGTTCCCAGCCTCTACTCAGCCCTCTGGGGTGGACCCATGTCCATGTGGGAAAGTATAGCTGGCCGCAGAACTGGCAGGACTCAGGCGGGTGCCTGCTAATGGGGAGGCTCCCAAGTGAGTGCGCAGTGATCCAGGGGAGGCCAGTGGTCACGGCCCAGTGCAGAGGTGGCCTGATCCCTGCCCTGTTTCTTCCCAGGCAGAGAGCTCGGAGGCTGGAGCATCCTGCCGGCTTTCTTCTCCCCAGATGTGTGGGGATTGTCTTCTATTCTGCTGAGGCTTGTGAGGGCACCCCTCCAATACTTCCTTCCCCACACTGGGGCTGGAGCTCACGGCCTCATACTTGAGCCACACTCTCAGCCCTTCCCATCCCTGTGACCTCTGACACTTCCTCTTCCCTTTGACCTGTTCCTGAAGTGCTCCCTTGTTGGAGACGCCGTCCCTCATGATGGCCTAGTGCAGTATGAAGTATGTTTGGCGGTTTTATTCTTAGCTCTTTCCTCCCTCCTCATAGAAATAAAATGCTTTTTCCAATTAGGCACTGAGAAGTGATGCCTTGTTACATCTGAACAGACAAGAAGGTAATGAAACATAGGTTTTTAAACTGCTTTGTTTACTCAGATTTCCTAGAGGTTGTGCAGGGAGTTGGCCTTGACTGTCTGAGGGAATGGATGTTTTCCCTTCTATTCCTCTTTTATCCTCAGGCCCCTCCACCACTCCTCCCCTTCTCCCCATCTCTCCTTTCCCCCTTTCTCCTCCTTCCCTTCTCCTATTTTTCTTCCCCTCTTCCTCTTCCCCTCTTCTCTCCCATTCCCCTTTCCTCTTCTTCTCTCTTCCCCTCCCCCTCTCCCTTCCCCCCCTTCCTTTTTTATTTTTCTCTTTTGCTTCTAATGTTGGGATACATTTGTGAGAGCTCAGGAAATCCTATTTGTGATGTAATCAATTCATCACTTTCCTGATGTATATGTGTGAATTTTATCTTTAGACATTCATTTCCCTCAGAGCAGGAAGGTTATGAATGTCCAACTTAAGCATTGGAATTTAACTCCAGATCTCTACTATCAAGTTGAAGAACTAGAGCATGCTAATGTCACTATAGTTCCCTCCTCT